AGGGACAGGGACAGGGAGGAGAGCGGGAGGGGGGCCCTGACAACAGCTGGCAGGGAGGGGGAGGTGGCAGGGAGAGAGGGAAGCTGCACAGGCCCAGGCTGGCAAGGGGCAGGGGGAGGCAAAGGGGGGAGAGTCATGGTGGCTGGTGTTGTCAGGGCCAGGCGGCAGGGAAGGATGGAATGGAGGAAAGTGGGGGGGGAGGGGAAGGTCATGGTGGCAATGCCTCCCCACCGCCTGGCCTCGACAACAGTTGCCAGGGAGGGGGAGGCGGTGGGGAGGGAGGGAGGAAAGGGAGCGGGGTGGGGAGCCCCCACACCGGAGACTGGAGACGGTGCGGTGGAGGGAGTCTTTACATGGCCAGCCCCAAAGGGTGAGTGGGGGGGCATGTAAACACTCCCTGAAATCCGTCATTCTTGATAGGCAATTAGCTAGTGCAGGTGTTGATGAAAAGCATCCTCCTGCCACCTACCTATCAAAGGCCAATCAATTGGGAATTTGAGAGCAAAACTGTCAAAAACTTAAATGGCTAAAGAAGAAAATATTGCGATTCTGAAGTACTGCCATGGTGCCTTATCAGAAAAACTGCCTGTCATTCCCCTTCTCCTATCCAGTCAAACTCCACCTCCCATGATGCAGTACATTTACAGCTTCATGGCCACAGTGCATCACAGGAGATGAAGTACAGCATGGAGAAAAGAAAGAAAAGAATGGAGAATGAGTTCTGCTTCCTTATGAATATTCCCATTCTCCTCTCCGAGCTCCATGTCAGATTTTGTCTCTTGTGACACACCAGTGCTGTGCAGTCATCATGATATACTGCCTCTGCACACCAAAGGAGACGAGGGTACATTATGGGAGATCAAGTCTGACCTGAGAGGTCACTCCACAGGGGAGAAAGTACTCAAAGTACAACTACCATAAGGCACTGTACCAACATAAAAATATGTTTGTTTTCAAAATATTTTAATGTTCAATGTCCTATTTAAAAAAGAGAAAACATTTATTTTTTCATTTTCAAGGGGTTTTCTGATCAGCCTGAAAAGTAACAGCTGAGCATGTTTTAATATGGAGAAAGTGTAAGGGTCTCCCAGCAGGTAGGTCACTTGGTTACTTCAGGGATAGACATCAATGTAAGAGAAGGAAACAGAAATGCCCTTGGAGACATTTTAAAAGCAAATCATTGCTTTTTCAGTGAACTGAAAAGTTAAGCCCAATAACCACTACATATGGATAAATGAATGGTTTGAACAAGCGTAGGGAGTTGCGACATTAAACTAAAAGCATTAACTGGATTATTTCTCCTTCCCTCTTTCCTCATAAAAGTATAAACATACCAACATAAAAGCTGCTTCATTAATTTAACCAAGACTATGAAATAAAAAGCCTTCAGAAGTATAATAAAAAAGAAGAGAAAGTGCCAGAAGCACTAAAAACAGTCTAGAACAAAAAAAATTGCTGCATGAAGTAGCAGTCTGAATCATGAGCCTAAGTGTATGTGGGTGGGCATAGTGCATTCTTCTGAAGGCAGAAAATTACAGTAGGAATTAATCCTTGCTTGTCAGTCTTTCAAAAAACTCCAAGTCAACAGAAGCTGGATTTAAGATAAACAGGACAGCTGACGGGGTATACATAGAAAATGAGTTGCACCACATAGATTAGTAATCTGTTTATAAAGATACTATCATGTAAGATGACTTTTATCAACCCAGTTATCACCTGAGTAATTAATAAAATAAAATAAAAAGGAAATGCTTATATAAGGTATATTTTTAAAAGGCAAAAAGGATCTAACATTTAACTTGGAATTTGTCCTAAGCAAAGCCCTCATGTTATATAAAGCTAGCTATTACATTAAAAACAAACAAGTCAGAACACAACATGAAGGAGTCCGGATGTAATGGACAGAAGCCAATAATACAGCATGAGCGAGGGCAGCTACTTCATCTTTAACCCATTCTTTTTCTCCATAAACCTCATAGCTCCTGGAAAAGTGACGTGGCCATTTCATTAACAGCTTTTGTAAATTTAAAATCAGAGCTACTTAAGTTCTTGCTAAATATTGCATACTTGCTTTTCATGCTGATTTATAAATATTGCATACTTGCTTTTCAAGCTGATTTATAAATTAAAAAAAAAAATCATTTCACTGAAGTCCAAACAGATTTTTTCAAATCATCACTTCCTACTACAAAAAAACACTGTATATTGTAAGTCATAAATGCCAAGGCTGTTTTGAAGTTATTTATATGGAAAAATGCATTACTGGAAAATAAAGAAAAAGAAACTCTCTCAAAACCAATAGCAGGATGTCATGCTAGAACCCCATAATGCAGGGGTCAGTAACCCATGGCCCATGGGCAGATCTGGCCTGTGAACATACAAGATCCAGGCATAGTAGATCACAGAATCTGCCAGCTAAGGCAGCAGAGGAGTCAGCTCCAGGTCCTAGCACCTGCCAAGTTCAGTGTAGTTTTTCCGCTGGAAGCCTACCAGTACCTCACAGTCACTATAATAAAATAATTTCTAAATACCTATACATTTTGGTATTTGATTTTGGGTTTTTTATCATGGAAAACCAGAACTCCCCCTGCCGCCTTCGCTCACTGGGATGCAGGTCCAGGCTCCTCACTCCCAAGCCACAGCCCCCTGGCCCTGCTGGTGCCCCTCATTTCCCACCCACAGCCCCCCTCCCTACCAGCCCTGCCAGAGTGAGCACCCACCTGCCAGAGCTACGGGGCCAGGGACCCAGGTCCGCAGCCCCCTGCTCTCACAGCAGTACCCATGCCTCGGCTGCTGCTCCTGGGAGATGACAGCCTGGATCCCCCTGCCCTGTGGGTGGCATGGCAGGAGCATAGCCTGTGGGGGGGTGGCTGTGGGCTGCCCGCTGTGGCAAGGCAAAGCAGGACTGGGTGGGGAAGCTCTTTGCTGCTGGAAGCTCTGCGCTGCCATGGTGAGGTGCCCATGCTCCTTGCCCAGCCCTTCTTTGCCCTGCCGTGCTGGGTCCCATCTGCTCAGCTGAAGAGGCTCTGGGGGGAGGGCAGCAGAGCAGGGAGCCTCAAGCCCGCAGCTGCCAGCCTGCACGCCCCCCCCTCCCCCCCTGCACAGATGTGAAAAGCATGTGCCCCCTCTACCCCCGCCCAGAAGTGCACACAGTGGTGGGGAGCCATAGTCCACTGTCTCACTCCCCAGAAGAGCTGCCCACAGCCCCTTCCCACTCCCTCCCCGGGCCCTGTGGCTGTACATTCCAGCTCCGGGCCCCAAGCCCCA